AGAGAACATTGAGTTCTAGGCATGTTGTAGCACACGATAATTAGTGTGCGGACCATTTTTATTTATATAGTGTTCTGTGAACACATAAATCAGTTAAATGACGAAAAATTAGGTGTATATTTACTTGTGACCACTCAGTGTACAATTCTGTTTTCAAAGCCTTACGTACCCTGATTAGTTATCGGTTAGTTTACAGACCGCAAACAGCCCATTGTGTTACTTTGCACTAAAAACACGACAGCAATATTTAAGCCTTACTTGTCATAGAAAGTAAGACTAATTTCAAACTCGTTTAATGTGACATTTCAGTATACATACAGTGATTCACAACAAAGAGCCCCCTCACCAGTGGCACAGCGGTACGTCTGCAGACTTACAACGCTAGAAACCCGGTTTCGATACCCATGGTGAGCAGAGCACAGATAGCCCATTGTGTAACTTTGTGCTAATCACTAAGAAACAAACAAACACAACGGAGAACGTGGATAGCTAACCAGTGGTGATAACATTTTCTGTGATGTCAGATTACCTAGAAATTCTCCTGACCATTCGTTTAAAGGCGCACCGAAAGTCTGGGCTGAAAACCGTGTAGATGATGGGATTCAACATGGAATTAGCGTATCCAAGCCACAAGAAGACACTAAAAACATAAGGGCCCGGATCGCACTCGCTACACATAGGCATCATCAAAGCGACGATAAAAAAGGGTAACCAACAGGCGACGAAAATTCCTGTAATAATCGCTAATGTTTTTGCCGCTTTTCTTTCCCGCTTGGATTCGGCGCTTTCCTTGGTCGTCTTTTTTCGCTTTCTCTTAGAAAGTAGAAAAGGTTTACTAGATTCTTCAGAAGGTGTCGCTTTTTTCTGAGAATCGCTTCCCAACGAATATGCCGTTGCACTCGAACTAGTATTGCTAGAAGAACCCGTTGTGAACGTGGTTGTTATTTCTACCGTAGATGTCGCTGCGGGTGGAACAGGTAGTCTCTGGAAAGCACGATAGCTAGAATTTCCGGGTTTGCGACGGATTCTTTTCCTCGCCTCTTTGTAGATTCGCCAATAAAGAACCAGCACAATCAGAAGTGGAAGAAAGAACGACGAAAAAGTGGCGAATATTTGATACGATAAGTCTTGGTTAACCAAACACTCTCGTTCATTGTGGATCCGTTCCTCAAACTCAGGATCCTTCCAGCCAAAAAAGGGTGCAATGGAAACTAACAATGCTACTGTCCAAACGAGAAGAATCATCAGTCCAATATGTCGAACGCTTCTTTGGTGAACGTAGTCTACGTTTGTCACAGCCCAGTAGCGGTCAGTAGCAATGGCTAAAAGATGCAATATGGAGGCAGTACAACACAGGACGTCACAAGAAGTCCATACGTCACACAACAGTGGTCCTAAAATCCATTTTTGGCTAACCTCGTACACAGCTCCCAATGGCATCACCAAACAGGCAACCATTAGGTCCGTCATGGCTAATGACAACACCAGATAGTTACCGACCGTCTTGAGGTTTTTCTCCATCAAGATTGCAGCAATCACAAACACGTTTCCAAGAATCGTGGCTAAGATTAATAAGGACAAGAGAGACGATATCCCAGCTACCCATAACGTTCCCACATCAGTTTCCAACGGATATGAAGAATAAGAGCTGTTTCCAGAAGAGGCGTTGATTTCAATATCAGAATCATTTTTCTTAACTGGAAGATAATCAGAAAAGTCCAGAAGCTTATCGGAATCATTGGGAGTTTCTTCATAGGTTAATATTTCAACATATTCAGATAGGAAAGCTACGCTGTTTATCATGATTTGATACCTAAGAAAAAACAAACAAAATATAAAACAAAATTAGGCATAACAATTCATTATAGGACATCTAACAAGAATCAAACAAAGTTATATACATGAAAACTTAAATGTTCTATAACATTTTACTATATTCTTTTGCTTCAAGATTTCTTGACCTTTGACCCTCCATGTTTCGACCCCGTCCTCAACTTGAATTGCTTAAATATGCTAATAAAGCTAGAAAAAGGTGAACTTTACTCTCCAAATAATAAAAAACAACTTATTTCAGCCAACGTTTCGCCATTGCAGTTTCATCAGGACTAGTAGTAAAAAAAACTCGGTATGCTTGCTGTAGCACTACGGTTTTGACTGATGGAAATGCTTTTTGTTTTCCTACATTTATTGCCAAAATGCTTAAATTCCTACAAATCCTGAAAAAGGAACAGAATGTTGTTGTGAAATACCGTATGGAGATGTTTTTCTGTTTTAAAGGCCCCCTAGTGGCACAGCGGTATGTCTGCGGACATACAACGCTAGAATCCGGGTTTCGATACCCGTGGTGGGCAGAGCACAGATAGTCCATTGTGTAGCTTTGTGCTTAACTACAAACAAACCACTGTGGCACAGCGGAATGTCTGCGGACATACAACGCTAGAATACGGGTTTCGATACCCGTGGTGAGCAGACCACAGATAGTCCATTGTGTAGCTTTGTGCTTAACTATAAACAAACCAACGTGGCACAGCGGTATGTCTGCGGATTTACAACGCTACAATCCTGGTATCGATACCCGTGGTGGGCAGAGCACAGATAGTCCATTGTGTAGCTTTGTGCTTAACTACAAACAAACCACTGTGGCACAGCGGTATGTCTGCGGACTTACAACGCTAGAATCCGGGTTTCGATACCCGTGGTGGGCAGAGCACAGATAGTCCATTGTGTAGCTTTGTGCTTAATTACAAACAAATTGTTTTAAAATGTGGATTTGGCATTATGGTAAACGCAGAAAAAATTCTGGTCTTATTTGTTTACTTTTCTCAGTAGGATATTAATTTTTTTTTGCAGAAATAATACTGTAGAAAGTGAAAATGCTTAACTGGAATAAAAAATACAAACCTGCTACAATGACTTTTTGATAATTGTCATATTTACTTATCCCAATATCTACCGCTCTGGATATTCGTTTCTTTGTTTTTAAGCGCAAAGCTACGCAATGGGTTTTCTGTGCAATCTTTCTGTATGTTCTAAGTACTTGAATATTAACTCTGTTGAATTTTCTTCACTATTCTTTTGAAATACGGCCCGGCATGGCCAGGTGGTTAGGGCGCTCGACTAGCAATCTGTGGGTTGCGGGTTCGAATCCCCGTCACATCAAACATGCTAGCCCTTTCATCCGTGAGGGCGTTATAAT